AGACTCCCAAAAAAAAAAAAAAAAATTCTAAAATCGTTCTTTATCACTTCCTAGAGTTTCCTTTTTCCGAATTATCATTTTTAATGCCATAAATTACATAATTGTAAAGCACGTGCAACTTTTATGAATTTATTGACGAAAATTAAGGGAATAAAAGTATCGAATTAAAAACAAAATCGGAACGAAATGGACCATTAAGTTTAGTTCTACTCGAATTTTGAACTATTTTGAGGTACTACAATCAAGAGCAAAACGATTCAGTTCAATACTTGATTCTAGTCCTCGGAATTAAAATTCAAGGGTTATGCCACATGTACACCCATTTTTTTACATAATATTTTACTTACATTCACAATAGGGTGTAGGGACCACACATTCAAGAGTTTTTTATTCACGCGGGCCCCGCATGCATGTGAGAGGGCGTCACATTTTCGGTAACCCTCATTCGGTACAAATAGAATTATCCAGAATTCAAAATTAACGAAGTTTTATTTTATTTTTAAATATATTGCAACCACCACATTAAAGAAATACCCATTTTAAGCAAATTGTTCCCACTCTTCGTTTTAGGAGGAGAATTAAAAATTGTAAAATTTGTTCAAGAAGTTACATAATTACATTTGGAACCAACATTTCCATTTATAAGATTCAAATTTGTTCTCCGTTTAGTTGGATTCTTTTCGACCTGATCAAAATCGAGCGGGGTCCACCCCTAACGAAAATCGTGTGTGACTGTGAGAATGAACTTGCATTGATAATGAAAGCTCAAAGAGTTAAATGTTGAAAAAAGTGAGGACTATTTTTCAGCTCTTCTCAAAAAGCTGAGGACTGAGTGCAATTAGTAAATGCACTTTATAATATAATATACTTGTTCTTGAATTTCTTTTCCCTTTGCCTTGGAAGAAAATTTGTCTACAGTTATCAATTATTCAATTATCTATTTCTTCAAATTTTCATTCAACTGAATCCATACATAGTTAACTTATTCCAGTGTCCTTTTTCATCTCACTTTTAACCATAAATAATTCCACTGTCAAATTGTTTAAGCCCCTGTTTAGTGGGATTAAAATCAGATTTTAAGTAGATTTTGATTAAAATTGATAAATTACGTGGTCGAAAATTTTTGGATTTAATAAAATATGTGATTAAAATTAATTGTTAACTTTGATTTAAATTAAAATTTGAATTTTATTTTACGAAACAGGGGCTTGGTGAATGCCTAAATTGACTCGATTTAAAGAAATTTGCTCATGCTACTGGAAATCTTGAGATTGGTTTCGTTTTACCCCTCCCTCGACTTAATCCACTTCAAAAACGAGAAAATAAAATGAAATTTGCAAGGTTGGAAAATATGGATCTCGCTACATGTACATGAATGTTTACTTAAGAGATTACATAATGTTATATGATACTTTACTATTTGTCAATTTAAAATACAGTCAACTTTTTAATCCAATTTCTTCTCTTCACATTACTTTATGTAATTTTTTATGTACCATTTTTATATACAAGTAGTATAATCCGAAAAATATATATGAAATATCAAGAGTGGCATGTTGTGTGGTTTGGTTTGGTTAGTCGGCACTAAATACTCATCCTGGTTGGCTATATACATACTGCATTAAATTGAACAAGAACAAGGACTATCCTCGTGTAATCACGAAACTGTTTACTGCACACAGAAAAACCTTAAAATAAAAATATGAATTCATCAGCATTTACCCCTTGTCATGAGGGACGTGTCCTCTTTTTTATATCTCATGATCCAACTTCTTCACCACTCCACTCGCCTGCTCTTAACCACCCCCACCCCACTACCCCCATCAACTATTTAACCTCTTTCTCAATACCCAATTTTAACTGCAATAGGAAAAAAAAGAAAAGAATGGAAAGTCTTCTGTGCAATGAGGTGTGGTTTATGAGCCCTACAACCACTGTGCATCACAACGTACAAGCCAATGATCAGTACTATAATGTAAGAAGGAGTGAATATAGTACTACTAGTTGTTTCTACTCAACCAGAGAAGATTGTGAAAAAGCTATTGGGATTTTCCTGGAGAAGGAAGCCGGTTACATGCCAAAAATGGGATACTTGAAGCAGATTGAGTCTGATAATTTGATTGATCATGCTAGGTTTAAGGCTATCTGCTGGCTTATTAAGGTAAATATTTCTTTTCTCGCTGCACCAAACCCTTGATATATTAGACGTTCTTGAATGTACTTATATATTTTTACGTCCATGTTAAATTATTGGAGGCTCAAAAGCGGATGGATCTCTCTTTTGGAACTGTTTTTGGTGCTGTGAGTTACCTGGATCGATTTATTTCAATAACTCAGTGCCAAGTAAGGGATGCTTCTTCTATTTTTTTCATTTTTAACTTTTAGATTTGAATTAAAAGTAACTGTTTCGAGGATCAAAATTTTTGCAGGGATGGAAATATTGGATGTTTGAACTACTTTCTATCGCATGTTTATCAGTTGCCTCCAAATTCAATGAATCAATCACTGCGCCATTGCATGAATTTCAGGTACGTTCCTTGTTGTAATCCCCATGACTTAAACATTTCTAATTTCATGGCATCAAAGTTTTAATTTCCACATGTTAAAATGCATGTGAATTTCTTTTACTAAAGGCCCGTTTAACATGATTTTTGAAAAGTTAAAAGTTATTTAAGAAACTAAAAAGATACTTCTGAACATGTTCGAATAATTTTCTAAAAGTATTTTGTCTGATTAAAAGAGATTTTAGAGCAATTTCCTCAAAAAAATTCTTCTACAAAAAGTAAAAGCAGAACACCGTCAAATGAGCCCTAATACTTTTCACTTCCTCTTGCTATTTAGAAAAGCATAATATAGTAACCAATGATTTTAGATTCAAATTCCCTTCTCACGTTAAAGGGCCAATTTCTTTTGCCTTTACTTTGACTTAAAAGCAAATATTTTAAATTTTTTTTTTGAAAGTTAATTTTTAAAAGAGCTTCGTACACTGAAAGTGCTTTTAAAAGAAGTTACATTGAACCATCTTTCTCTAAAAGTTCTTCAAACTAGAAAAAACACTTTCATAAAATTAACGTTTTTGGGTCTCAAAAACTCTTTTTGACTTCTTAAAAGCCATACGAAACAAGCCTTAGCAGTGCTCTATTAGGAACCAATTCTTCCTACCAGATGTTTCATATCATAAGCACTTTAAAACTCAACGGATGAACTAGATTGATAATCCTAGAGAGTAAGCATACGCTAAAACTATGAACTGATAAGATACTATGAAATAAGCAGATCTGTCGCATTATTTCTGCAGGTGGAGGGTTTAGATCATTCCTTCTCATCAAGCCAGATTCAGCGGATGGAATTGACTCTCTTGAAGGCTTTAGGATGGCAAATGGATTCTCCAACTCCATATTCTTACATTGAATTGCTGATACGCACCATCAATACCTTAAACAAAACCCTTGTTGATAATCTAACCGTACGCGTCACTCAACTGCTTCTTAACACCCTTTTAGGTACGCTAAACTAGCTCTCGCCATCTTATACATGAAGGCTTTTACCCTTAATTCCCACTGCGAATGAATCTGTCTGCTTGTAAAATGGTTCAGATTCTAAATTCCTGGAGTTCGGGCCTTGTGTTATTGCCATTTCTGCAGTAAGATGCATACTTGAAAATGATACATCCCTTGATCATTTCGACACATTTATTTCCCAAGATCAAAGGGTAAAATTAATTATTCTCTCAGTGAATTTCTGTTTCTTTTTTTTTTTAAATGCAATATGCATGATGCTGTTAATGTTCTTGATCTAGGAAGAAGTGAACAAATGCCAAAGCTGGATGGAAAAAGAATTGTCGACAGATTACAGCTACATATTCCAGAATGCAAATTACAGTAGCCCTGAAAGTCCAGTAACAGTATTAAAGGTGGAGTGGGACAAAATCTATGACTGTCAACTTGATCTCTTTCTCTTAAAGAAGCCATGGATGAACTTCAATTTCAGATCAAATAGCAAGAGGAAGAGAGAAGAACAAGAATGTGCACTCTGAAATTAATGTTAATCGTGTTGTTATAATAAGGTCATGTTCATTTTAATGTAGAATTTGGTATAACCTGCAACTGTCGATATAACGACATACCAATATAACAAAACTCTCCTCTCCAATAACTGAAAGTTTTAAATGAAAGCTTATGTACTATTTGAGTCGTCAAATTGTTGAAAATTGGTTCAAAATATTGGTTTACCAATTTGGTAAAACGAGACCTTAAATTGATTGCAAAAAACTGAAAGCCAAACTTGTTCTGCTGCATGAGTAAATTACTTGTAATTTCTTGAACCAATTTCAGGTAAATGAGAAATTAAGGCCGTAACTAAAATGCTTAACACGTGAAACTATTTATATTAATGTGATATATATTCCTAATATATATTTTCCATCTAAAAGATCAGTTTTCCACCCAAATTCCTACTTTAAAATGTTTGATTGCTAATTTTTTCCATTAAATTTTTTTTTTTAACTTTTAGAAATTTGCCTAATTTTCCTTGTTTTTAAGGGAAACATTTTCTTTAGAGTGAGTAGGTTTTTTTTTTTTTCAAAGTAAGAAAAATATTTCCTTTTTTTATGAGATATTTTCTATGCCAATCAATCACTCTTAGTGTTTTTAATCTTTGAAAAAGGGCGTAGCAAGGGGAAGCAACTTAGGGATCAATTGCTAAGGAACTTATTTGTAACTTAAATTAGTAAAAAAATATTTATTTTAACACTTACTTACACGTATAAATTTACTTGAGTATTTATTATTTTTTGACCCAAATTTCATTGGAAGTTCGTGGATTGGTTGAAAAAGGTATGGGAAGTTTTGGGGACAGTAATTGGACTTTTAGAATCAATTTGAACTGAAACTTGGTGCCTGGGCACCATTGGAAGTGCTATCCACGTTGTTCATCTACCACCTGCTTAACACTCCAACGCCGCTCGCCTGCCGCTCGAATCCCGTATATACCCTAGAAAAATATGTTTTCTTCTTTTGATATAGTTTTTTATTCTCTTTGCAACCATAACATATTCTTTTGAATCCTATATATAATCCACGTGATTCTTGACTTTCATATGACTTTGTATAAGTTAAAATAAAGTTAGAAACACAATATTTCGTATTATTTCTCCATTCTTCATTTCTCAACCAATTGTTCTTCTGTTGTGATTGTTACTTTAGATTATGTCATATAATCTCATTTTCTAATAAGTGATATCAACATATATAATTCTTGTTCAGATTCTAACAAGTGGTAGCATAGCTTAAGGTTTGATTTGTTCAAGATTTTGCTTTTTATAGCAATCATGAAGTATGACTTTATGCTTTTGGATCACAACACTAGATTCTCATTGTGACATATGAAAATGCGAGCAGAAGATTTGGACGACGTTTTGTTAGGATTTGACAAGATGCCCTCAAATTGGTTATTGGAGGAGAAACAACGTAAGGATCGAAAAGCCCTTTCTCAAATTCATGTTCATCTTTCGAATCATATTTTCCAAAACATTTTGAAAGAGAAAATTACAGCTGCATTATGGTTGAAGTTAGAACAACTGTACATGACTAAGAGTTTAACTAACAAATTGCACCTAAAGCAATGTTTGTATTCTTACCTTATGACAAAAGGTACATCTCTAGAAAATCACATTGTTGTCTTTAAAAAAATTGTCGTTAATTTGGAAACATTTGAGGTTAAGTATGATGAAGCGGATTTGGGTTTAATTTTATTGCAATCGTTGCTCACTTCATATATGTCGTTTAGAGACACTTATATAGTTGTGATACTCTCACCGTTGATGAAGTTTATGATACTTTATTTTCAAAAGAGAAGATGAAGTATCCTGTTGGGTCTTATACTTAAGGAGAATGCCTTATTGTTCACGGTGGTTATGAGAGGGGTAGTTCGAAATCTAATTCTAGTAATAAAGTTTGTAACGACTATAAGAAGAAGTGACACATTAAGAAGGATTGCTACAAGTTGCAGAATAAAGAAAAATTGGCTACAAATCAGAAGGGAAAGCAACTAGATACTTCAGACAAAAGCAGATGTTGCAGAGAACCGTTGGAGTGATGGAGAACTTTTGATTATTTTTTACGGCGATTCTAAACCTGATGATGGTTGGATTCTTGATACAATTTGCACTTTTCATATGTATCCCAATCGGAATTTATTTTCAATATATGAAGAAATTTCAAAAGGTGTTGTAGTTATGGACAACAACACACCCTATATGGTATTGGAAGGGTCAGATTTAAGATGTTGGAGGGACGATCATAACACTGGATGCAGTTAGACACATTCCAGATTTGAAGAGAAATCTTATCTCCTTGCCTATTCTTGATTCAAAATTGTACAAGCTCATTGGTGAAGGTGGAGTCTCGAAGGTTTGTAAAGGTGTTCATGCTGTGTTGGAGGGGCAGCGAAGGTCCCAATTTATATGTCTTGCAAGGTTTTGCAAAATCTTTGAATATCAATCACCAGAAGTTTAGTACTTTGGTGAAAATTCACTACAGTACCGTTGGAATTTGGTTTGGGGTCTGTGTTGAAGAACACATCTCAATTGAGTTTAGAAGTTATAGATAATATTGTTTTTCCACCACAACCAGTGGTACAGTCGTATAGAGATGAACCCAGAAGAAATATTAGGCCTCCACATAGGTACGTGGAAGCTGATTTAGTGGCGTATGCGTTGATTGTGGTTGAAAGTATTGAGTCTAGCAAATAACCTCCAATAGAAGCATTTGGTTGTGTTGATCTTGTTTCAGGGCATGTTTCGATCCCGTTTGGTAACTTTTGAATTATTTGTAATTTTATTGCTCATGGTGATAATTTGAGCAAATTTTGGTGCTCGGATAATTCTGCTGAGCAATGCTTAGATTCAACTGATTGGATTTGTCCTAGTTGGACTTTGTGGAAAAGGAGGAGAATTTTTGTTGGAAAGTTTTTCTTGGAATGAAGAGCCATTGGTTTATTCCTTGCAGAGAAATTTGTCATTAAATGGAGAATTGTTGAAGTATGTTAAGTGGAATTTGTAGCAATGTGGAGATTTGTTATTTGTAACCTAAATTCCGTTGGATGTTCGTGTTAAAACTCAGTGCCCGGACGCTATTTGAAGCGTTGTCGCCGTCGCTCACATACTGTCTGCCTAACACTCAAGCACCTCGCGTCGCTCACCTAGCGCGAGGTTGCCACTCAAGCACGGTATATATCATAGGAAAATTTGTTTCCTTCTTTTGACGTGATTTTTTATCATCTTTCTAACCATAATATATTCTTTTGTGTCATATATATAATTCACGTTATTCTTAGCTTTCATATGATTTTGTATAAGTTATGATCAAGTTGGAAACACAATATTTTGCATTCTTTTTCCATATTAATAAATTTTTCATTCCTCTACCAATTGTTCTTGTATTGTAATTCTACTTCATATTGTGCCATATAATCTCTTTTCTTCTATTCCTAACAAGTGGCATCAACGTACATAATTCTTGTTCGGATTCTAACAGTATTTGTAAATTAATAGTCCAGCCAAAACCCATCTCATTAAAAAAGTATTATTTTAACCATATTGCCTAAAGGAGGATAAATTTGCACCAAACACAATACAGAATTAAATTAATCCTTATTTCTTATCCGATCTAATACAATGCACCTAATACGGCGCAGGCACTCTAAACATGCCCTTAAGTTTTAGCAAAATGAACACTATGCATCCACTAGCAAGCACAAAACTGAAGTAAGAGTTGCATTATAACATTGTTAGCACTAACTTTATAACATCATAATATGCGTCATACAAAAACTTTGATGTAGCAATAACACGTTAGGGATAATGAGATGTAAACCCTTAACGATCCTCGCAATGCTCCGACTCAAAAACATTTTAATGGCCTTGAAAACCTTGCAGGAAACTACACAGCCCTGCATATTCGAGCATCTATGACTGGCACCTTGGGAGAAGACTCGGATAACTCCAGTGCATCTGCAAGTGACATCCATCGGTTTCTCCATACATTTTCCGCCCAATGTTTCAGTTTCTCCCCTTCCGCTTTTCTAGACTGTTGCACGAGAAGTGTTTCTGCATAACCACCTTCACAAACATATAGTTTAGAAGATCAATGCAGAACAAGAAGTAGGTGTGACCTTTTGGTCATTTGATAAAACAGGCAACAAAATAGTCACATAGGAAACATCAAAAATCAGAAATTCTTGATGAACATGATACTTCTTGAACACAATACCAATGGTCGGTACCACCTAACAAAGTTTTGCCCAAAAAATTACAAGATAAATTTGAACTGTAGATTAAAAACTAACAAACAGTTTGATGTATAGAACAAATCAATGTACAAATTTTCTTGTCGAGGACGCAATAAAGAAGCTTACTCTATTGACCACAAAGATAAACTTCAAAAGAAAAGAAAAATACAAAAAGCCCACTAATCTCCAATTTTATGACAGTTTATATGACTTGGTAGTTTAAAATTGTTACAGTAACCAAAATTTTCCAACTCATTATTTTGTACCGACCCCAACCACAGACTGCAGCAGAAACAAGGAGCATGCTAGCTTTCATCTCTTCCAAAGAAGAGATTGTATTACTATTAGTCTATTACTAACTTTTGATTACCATAATCTTCTGTCATTCTCACTAAAGCTCTGCATAAATTAGAACTCTCTCCCACGTATTTGTGGTACGACTTTAACTTTGAGCAGGGGGTCACCAGCATATAAACCATATTTTTAATGTGCAAGTAAAAAAAATAGAGGGTAAGGAATACCTCTCGCAAGGGCAATTATGTCTTTCCTGTGGACCTTTTCATTGGAACCTATGCAATTAGAAAGATAACATCCTTTGAGAATTTATATATGGGGCAACTGAAAAATGAGAATAATGCTTAAATACCATCAATCTCCAAAGGTGGAGCTTTAAGTAGTTCAATCGCCCTTCTGTAAAGCCCCTGTAAAACATAAACCAGACATTTGCAAAGCAGGTATCATCAAAATGTTGAATGATGTTAAATTAAATGAACAAAACAAGAATGTGATTCCTACTGTATCAAATTAATTAATGTGTATCAAGCCAAAAAGGAAAAAATTGCCAAGTCAAGAGGGAAAGATGCAAAGAAGTGCCAACTTTGTCAAACAAAAACCATGCTTAATCCTTTATTCAGACCCTTAACCAGAATGAATCCCACATTGAACAAGCGTGCAAGATTTTGGCTCGTTCAATTGCTCTTAAAAGTTATAATACAAGCTAATATCCGCTTTTCCGCGTATTCATTCACTGGAATAACTGTAAATGAAGGAACGGAAGGAATCAAAATATTTGCACACACATTAGTAGCTTGACATGAAATTTCTAACCTCCTGAATTAGAAGAGAACTTGAGTGCTCCATTGCTGCTTTATGTCGATACATGAGAGCTATGCACGTCAAAATAACACCAACCTTGGGGTGTTGAGCACCTACATCATACAATAAAGCCCCAGTAAATACCATATCTTTCATACACCTATCAATTACATGCAAAATATCAAGGACACAAACCATAGCGATCTTCTGTTTTTTTCAGTGTTGCAGTCAGCATCTCCTCTGCATCGGCAAAATTCCTATAGAGGGGAAACTCAAATTCAAGTTAGGGGGGGACATAATAGGGTAAACATATAATTGACAAGTTATAGAAGTAAACTAGTATTACCCCATATGGGTTTCAAGCTGTCCTAGAGAACAAGTAGCCGCTACCACAACTTCCTCTGAGGTCATGTTACAAGCTCCTAGGTTGTTTGGATCACCAAAATCTTTGATCTCAGACATTCCCTGAATTACCTTCTGATACAACTCCTTTGCATCTGAAAACTTCCGCATGCCATGAAGGAATTCACCATAAGAAAGAGCAGCATTGCCTACACATTGAGATATCAATAGCACAGATCCCAAAAATGAAGAGTTTCTCCTCCAAAAATGACTTCTCCGGTTGGGGGAATAATGATACTAGAATGTCTCTGGCAAGACAAAACCTTACCAATGCAACATCCATTGGCCTGAGCTCCCTCAAAAAATGACTGCGCTGTGGAGGAACAATTGATTTGAAAGATCATTAGTAACAATAAACACAACAAGACATACACAAATAGTGCTCCATCCATGGTGTTCACCTGAGTCGAGATTACCGCATATCAGCTCAACTAGGCCTTTTAGAGCCTTAGCACGAGCCTCTAGAACCTCAAAGCCACTCCCATTAACAATTTCTAGTCTGATTGTTTCCAAAATCTGCAAGGCTATATCTGCAACTACTGATGCAGCATCCTCCTAAATAGGGAGGAACAACTTCAAAATAAATTCATATTCCCATAAAACAATGTAAAAGAGTTCAATTCAATATATGGAATATTCTATGGCTTACTTGATAGTGTTCTAGATAAAGTCCCACTAAAGCTTCTGATGCAGCAACTACAAGAATCACGAGTAAATTCTGTTTAAACATCACAGTTTTCTATCAATAGGAATTGCACTATGTATATGTTACTTTCTTTTTTCTTTTTTTTTTTTCTAAGAAGAAATTAAACAAGAGTTTTTTATTACCTTTAATAGCAACAGAAGGCAAGCTCAAATCTTGAATTCTCTCAAGTCTCTCAATGGCCGCCTCATAGGACCCTCTGAAACCTCCATAAAAAATAACAAACTGAAAAAAAAAACCCCGCTACATCTCCAGGATTTTCAAATCTCTGCTAAGAAATAAAATCAATTCAACAACATTTAAAAAATTCAAAGACAAAACCTTTCAAACAATAAGGTTGAACGGGCTAGTTCAACCAAACCCTTAGAATTGTCATCAGGTTGAGTCGACTCGCACTGATCCAATACTAGTCGTCCTCTCCCATACGAGTCTTCTGCAATCCCATTTTCAAAAAGCATTCATTACTAAGGCTATCAAATAAATTTATTTACGTAAAAATAAAAACCCAAATTTCAAGAAAATAACTTCATGTAAGCGGCACCTGTTTTCTGTGAACGGGCAAGAGACATAGCATAGTTTATCATTTCAAGGGCAACCGGGTTGGCTGTAAAAGTGGTATTGTTTGCATAAAAATATCTGTTTGGAGGTGGCGCCGCCACTTTTAGCGGTGGCAGCAGTGACGGTTTAAGAAGAGAAAAGGAGGGGCCTAGGCCATTCCTCGTGGCTCTGGAAATTTTAGCTGCGAGACTGATCATACTGTTTGTTTTGGTAATCTTCTGGGTAGTTTGCTTTCAATCAAGAATTTGGAAGAAAGAACCTTGATGAAAGCGAAAACGGATCTACCGGATAGAAGTTAGAGATCGCAATGGGGCGAGTTTGGGTCGTCTCCCGTTTATTTATTTATTTTTTTCAAAAACTTCCAATTAACTATTTTTTTATTTTTAATTTGTAGTTAATTATTTTTTTTATTTTTCACGGGACGGGGGGAGTTCGGGTCGTGTCCCGTTTATTTATTTATTTTTTTCAAAAACTTCCAATTAACTATTTTTTTATTTTTAATTTATAGTTAATTATTTTTTTTATTTTTCACGGGACGGGGCACCCCCGCCCCGCCTCACCCCGCCCCATCCCGCCAACCCGTCGGGGCGGGTTTTTTCCACCTCATTCAGGGGGGTCGAGTTTTTTTGCCTTCACTAATAGAAGTCCGTGTTTATTTTATAGTCCTCTTTCCAAAATTTCTTTAAATTAGCCTCATATATTATTTGTAATTAAATTTCCGGTTTTTTTTAATTATTTTAAGAAAATGTGGACTATCATTATACGAGATAATCAAATTCATCATACTTAAATCGATCACAATTGAGTTAAAGTGTGATTTCGAAGTAGTGATCTCCATTTGGTATCAATACAATATTAAACAAATACGTTAAAGAAGGGAAAATATCACAAATGACGAAAAGTTAAGTTGATAGATAATTTGGCATCGTCATGAGAGAGGAATTGTGAAAGGATGGGGTGGGGAATATCTTAGAAGATAGAGATGTTGAGATCGACTCATGGGAACGCTACAAAAATTCGTGATGTATAAAATGAACACAAGCTCTTTCAAAATGAATAGTATGAAGTTAAAAATTATATAGAGTTTAAAATAACTTGAATACAGAATCTTGAAATTTTATAAAAATATAAGATTAATCGTTGAAGATCGTATTTTTTGGACAAATTTATCTCAAAATATTATTTTAGTGTCTTTGTAGTTTTGATACTTCAAAGCTAGAAAGCAACCGAAAGTGACAAATTAAAAGATTTGAGATCGAGTAGCTATACCAGATTCATTTAGAGATTGGAACTCATACAATTCCCTCTAAAATTATTTTTTATTATTATTGTTTTATTATTATTATTTTTTTTAATCTCTCCCTCTTATTTCTTCTTCACACAAAAGCACATAGGTGGGTGCCCCTTTGTCAGATGCTACCCTTTATGAGCCCCAATAGGAATGGGGCTTGAAAACCACAACCCAAAAAATCGACCCGACGATAAATTCGAGGGTCGAGTAAAATAAATTTAAAATAATTGTGAGTCGAGTCGGTTCATTGTTTAAAGTCTCACAAACCGACCACTGAAACCCTATTATTCAGTTTGATATAGAAAGGGATCGCATCCTTTGCCAAGTCCTCCAACAACAGAATCACGTCGCTCATTATCTCAACTCTGTCGAGAACAAGCGTGGCGGAGGTGGGTGATAGAGAGGTCGGGATCGGAGGGCTAAAGAAGGTAGGCGGTGACGACAAGGAAAGGCAATAAAGTGGCAAAGCATATTAGGCGGCGGCAGGATTTACTGAGAACACGGTTGATGTGCTATGGTTGGTAGGTCAATACGACAACATATGGTGGTTCTTGGTGTTGGGAGTTGGAAAGGAAGGGCTAAGTATCTGAATGCTTTGTTGGGTGCATTTTTTTGGTTGGTAACGATTGGAGGGGACTTCTCTCTTGGAGATTTAGGAAGGAGATGTGGGTCCTCTTTCTTCTCTGCAATTTTGTCAAGTTTAAGCTAAAACCGCCATTTATAACTTGAAAAATTGAAATCGCATTAAAACACGAACGATCTTGCTTGGGGAAGCTTAAGCTTCGGTTTAGGGGTAGGAGCCGGGTTGGGTCGGTTTGTGTAAGAGTTCAAAAACGAGTATATCGGGTCGGGTCAGTTTTGGGTCAAACCCGACCCGGCCCAACCCATTGCCCACCCCTAATCCCCAACTTTAAAGAAAGTATCACAACAAAGGCCCATGGGCTGAAAGTCATTCTATTTAGAGGAAATTACATGGATCTAGGTATCTGAAAATCTCAGTACAAAAATCAGGTGAGAAGTTTTTTTAATCAAAATTCAGGTATCTACAAACCCTAAATCATTTTCCTTCAATTTCTCTTCATATCTCTACCCTCTCTCTCTACCCACAGTCAACCATTTTTCTTCATATCTTCACTCTCTCTCTCTACCCACCGTCGACCAACGCCTACCTTCGACCACCGCCCACCGTTGAAGAATACCACCCAAATCAACAATCTATCGTCGACGATGATTGAGGCAGAAGCGCATCAGCTCTATCTGAAATTTTTTCCTTCAAGACCACCGCTTGGAGCACCTGTCGTCGGTGCTACTGTAATGAAGAGGCGGTGCTGCTGTAATGAAGAGGTGAAGCAGATCCACCTCGATGCAGATCCACCCACTCAGGCGAGTTGCTATAATGAAGAGGAGAAGCAGATCCACCCACTCCGTCTGGCCGATGCCGCCGTGGTGCTGTTGTAATGAAGAGGCGAAGCAGAAGCAACATTGTGGTGGGTGGGTTTGAATGGTGTTTTGTGCGGTAGTGGTGATGGTGTTTGTGTGGTGGCGGTTTTTTGGTGGTGGATATGGCGGTTGGGGGTGGGTTTGGATGATTTTCTGTGTGATGGTGGTGATGGTGTTTGTGTGGTGGTTGTGTTGTGTTGGTGGTGGTGATGGTGTTTGTGTGGTGGCTATTTTGTGTTTGTGTTGGTGGTGGTGATGGTGTTTGTGTGGTAGCTGTTTTGTGGTGGCAGTGGCAGTGCGGTGGAGGTGGCAGTGTCAATTATTTGATTAATTTGTGACCAACTATTTGGTTATATATGACTGTGGAAGAATCTGTGACCATTTAATTTGGAAATATGTGACCGAAGAATAAATTGTGACCTATAATTTTTTTGTCTGTGACCATTAAATAATCTGTGACCTAACTAATTTGGAAATCTATGACCGACGAATAAACTGTGACTTTTAAATTTTTTGATCCGTGACCATTAAATAATCCGTGATCAATTAATTTGATAATATGTGACCAATAAATAAATTGTGACCTATAATTATGTACATGTGACCAATTAAT